CCTGCTGAGCACAGCATCTGCTTTAATTGTGGGAATAGAGTGCAGGATAAGCCTGCCTGGAGACATGTCTACATTTCAGAGAAAAAAACATGGCTTTTTAAACTTCATAATCTGTTCTTCAATAAAAAAAGTATTTACTGTTAATATCAACAGATCAGCATGCAGCTTCTGTTACAGTTTGTTTATAAACAGCCACAATACATGCAGACTTGAATATGCACATTAAACATTTAAAATTCTAATGAAACCGTAAGAAAGAAATAACATTTAAGAAGCTTAGAACAAACTATCTTCTGTAAAATATGCTTTACGTCAGTAATAACAGTTTGGAAGAAGAGTTGTGTTACTTAAAAAAATTTTTAAAACTGCTCACTTTCAGAAAAGTGCAACATACAGCTGAAAACATTCAAGGTTCTTATTTGTGCAGTGTAGTAAAAAATATAAGCTGCATGTTTATATTAGTATGAGTGGAAAGGGTGGATATTAATGACATTACTGTGCATTCTTACCCAGCAACCAGAACATATTTTCCATCTGGTTGATTCTTTAACCTTTCCAGCAGGGACAAACGTACTTTGGCTTTGGTTTGGCCATAGATCTCAACTTCATCTGTAAGCAATCCTATCTCCTTGGCAAGTACATCAACAGCTTTTGGACTCTGTGCTCGGGAAATCTCAATATCACTGGAAAAGAAAACAAATAGGAGCCAGGAGATTTCTCTCAGCTTAGGTGGTCGACGACAAAGCACAAAACAACAGCAAATACTCCAACAATGGGGTTATTGTGATCAGTTTTCAGTCCTCTCTCACATTTTATTAACCGAACCTGAATAGTAGCTAACACCTAATATAACATGGAAAATCACATGCAGTGTTTGTTAATTGTTACAATTTCACGGAGTTCTCTCTTTTAGTCAGATTCCAAATATTACGTAATGCTTTCACATCAAGCTGGAGTCTCCTGGATGCTCAACCACGTCCCACTGGAATGGATGCTTCTGTTTTTGTTTTTCTTCTCCCTCCCAACATATCTCAGCACACACACTTTACTAAACAGCACATACATTCCTCGGTCAACAGTCACATAAACACATTAGCTAAATCTGATGCTCAAGCGTGGAGCACCTTTCATCAGAGGGTACTGCCAAGCAGGTTAAGCCTCACTGCTCCCCCACGAGGGCACCGAGGGAAACGAGGAATTTGAATACAAACTCATGCACTTTTAAAACACAGCTAAATTGAAAATGGCCCCATAGAAGGACGTTAATGCACTGGGCTCAGGCCACAAGTCCAGTGAACTTACAAACCGTCTCCAGCGAGGACCGTGAGTGGCAGCTGAGGCAAGAGAACAAGCAGAGGGAAAGCACACATGGTAGAATTATCTGAGGGGAGGTGGCTGAGGGCTGGCAGACAGTATCATAGCTGCAATTCCTGACCTAGACCACCTGGGGTCTTTGGATTCAATACTCCTTTGAGGATTTTTCATTTTTTGAGCTTGACCTAGTTGCCCCTTATGTCCACTTAAGCATTTAGCAGCTGCAAGCTCCCATGGCAGTAAAGTCCAGGATGCAGAACGCAACATGTGAGGAGTTGTCTCCTTTGGCTTTGAATTGCTCACAACACCACAACACCAGTTAAAAAATTACCAAGAGACTAATTACTTTCAGCCTAGCCAGGCTAAATTCCTTCCTGCAGTTGATTACAATATTTTTAAGTTAGAATCTGGCAATGGCATCAAAGCAAATGTCCTGAACTTTCAAACGGTCTGCAAGACCTCAAATATCCACAGATGAACAGGGAGCTACTGCCAGATCCCAACTCTATGTGTGGATTTAGGCTGTTCTGCATCTACCAGCAAACTATCAATTTGTGCCAACTAAATTGCTTGCAATTCTTTGAGGATATCCTAAACCAGGACCATTATTCAATTCTAATTCTCAAGCATCCCTCTTTTGCACCCTGCAGCAACTAAATGAAAGCCAGAAACCATCCATCCACACACTGATACAAGCCAGTACTACGGGATGAGAAGCTACTCGATCACAGCACTCAATGGTTGGGTTGCAGAACATTGCACTGCATTGCACTGGAATGTGCTTACTTTCAAAGACCTACTAAGCACATCCTCTTGCATACAAGGATATACCTTTGGCTTCCTTATGCATTACTTCAAACAAAACTGGCTGTACATATGCATCAAAAACATACGGTGGAGTTACTTAAAAACCTCACATGACATAGCATATTTAATGTTTTCTTTCAGAACTCTTTATAAAAAAAACCACTTGAGTCCCAGAAAAAGTGCTGCTAAGTTGATGACAATCAAGTCCCTTAAAGTTTTAAGTAAATAAAATGTGTAGGGTGCATGCTCTCCTGCTAAAGGAATTGATGAATTTGGCAAGGGGGGAAAGGTGTAGACTAATATAAAAGGACATTAATCTGCTTTTTGTTTTTCCTCCTGCTAAATGTATCAGCCTCTTTACTAAAAGAGAGAAGCTATTATTTCAAATCTCAGATCAGTTTATAGAGACTCACTACAGAAATCCCAGCCCTTGCTATTTCTCTCATTTCCTGGGCCACAAATATCTCCCTTTTGGTGTTCTGGAAGAAATAATGAGGCTTTTCCCACCCTGCAAGTACCACTACTGGCAAAAAAAGTGGATCAGGCTAAACTGACCAGGCTGTACACTTAAAAGTGGATGCTAACAGTTCTACATTGGTAAAACCACTGCTGTCATAATTTTCCCACCTGAAAAGCTCTCAAGAACCTTCAAGCCTTACTAGACTTAGAAACAGTTGAATGACAGATTGCACCCTCATACATGCAATAAAGTGATAAAAAGCATAATTTCACAATTAAGTGACACTTACACCACAACTACTGCTGGGACTAAACAACACATACAAAATGTTTACGTCTAGTCTAGTTATTTCTGATAAAAGTGTTTTCTAAAACACAGGAAATTAAAGTTTTTATCATAACTAGCATTTAGAAGTCTACATTTGCAGCTAGCTCTCTTAGTTTGACAATATATTGTCTACATTAGAAATACCAGGATTCTTCAGTAAGTTAGGTTATTCAATATTGCAGGAAATGTGCAACAGTGGTTCCTCTGCATGAGTGAGATTTGTTAAGCAGATAGTCATAATGTACAAAATATGAGAAAATTTAAAAGATGGGACAGGCTTTAAATCTACTCAGCCTGTGTGACAGAATTTTTTTTACTGCAAGAAAAAAAGGAGTCTCTTTACTTTTTCTTATAAGAAAAACTTCCGATCCAGTCCCAATATCTTTGGAAATACTTCAGTTAACACCTGGATATCTCAGAAATCGAAATGCACATGTTCCTCATTTTAGTGCTTAAGCAGCTTTGCCTCATTTTCAATGAAAATTCCATCTGTTTCCACACAATATGGTGTATTACCATAGGATTACCTTTTATCAGAGGATATTTTCCATCTCATGAGCTATTTACACTTAAAATAAGACATAAAGCTACAGAGTTATCAAATAAATGGAAGTCTTATTGTTGGTTATCTTACATGCCATTATACAGTAACTATGTAAATATTTATGTACTACATGCACAGTCATATTGGGAACACTTTTTTCAGTTACTCACCATCACACTTATGACATCACATGCTTTAATCTACTGTTTAACTGTATTATTTAAGGATAGATTTTTCAGGATTTAATTCTAAAAATGCTACATGCTGGCCCAGAAAAAGCTCAAGCATTCTTCCCCCTTCTGCCCCAGGTAGAAATAGAAAACTAATACTGTTGGCATCTCTGTTTTAAATTGCAATTGCATCCATTACCATTAAACTGTTGTAACAGACACTGAAAACTGAACCAAAGTGCTTAGAAAAGAAAACGCTTTGTTTAAGCTTTCCAAAAACACAGCAGTGGGGTTCAGAATTACAGAATCACCGAGTGGTTGAAGGTTGGAAGGGACTGCTGGAGGTCATTTGGTTAAGCCCCCCTGCTCAAGAGGAGCCACCTAGAGCCAGTTGCCCAGGACCATGTTCAGGTGACTTCTGAAAAGCGCTAAGGATGGAGACTCCACAACCTCCCTCGGAAATCCTGGACCAGTGCTTGGTCACCCCCATAGTAAAGAAGTGTTTCCTGATGGTTCCTCTCTCCATCACCTAACACAAAGCAAAGCACTTCAGCACAGCACAGAGCTCAGGCTGCTCTAAATGTCAGAGATGACAAGAACTGTGCTCAGGCAGACCTAAAATCCCTGCAGGCCGGACATGGGCCTTGGGAGGTGAATGACAGGACCTGATTGAAAAGATTCTGGCTACGAGAACAAATACACTTCCTGCTTTTCACATCTACACAGGAATTTAAAAGTCTAATGCAGAAGAAAGTACTTCTATGGAGGGAAGCAAATAAATACAAGATCAAATGCCATTGAAATTAGTAGACCTTAAATAGATCCATAAACCCCTTCCTACGTTAGGGTTTAGTGATTAGTAACTTCTTGTATTTTGTATTTCTGTTGATGTTAGACAAGGCTTCACCTCCCTCCCTCAGTGAAACCTTCCATCTTTAGGACTTCATTAAATAAAGCTTGGCTTGAAAGCACACATAAGTAAATTGAAAAGAAACAGAAGAACATGTTCACAATGAGGCATACAACAAAACAGCACAACATGTAGCCCACAAAAAACGATTAAAACTATTCAGGCATGGACCATTTTTAGGTTTGTTGTCACATTTAACACCTTCAAACTCCTTTTTTGTTGTTTAATTATAAAAAAACCCAAACCCAACACTCATTACCTGGGCACTGGGGAGAGGGGCTGCAGTTTCAAGCAGCGAAGGTCCCACTTCCTGTACTGCTGGGACTGGATCCACTGCTCTGTGTTTTTTACCATGTTCTGTTTTTAAACAAGAAAACAGCACACACCAGCTGCATCATAAATGCTGAACACTAATTTAAAATGATCTCATGAGTATGTTGAAATAACTTTTAAGGCAAAGGCTAACAAAAAACAAACTTTAAAGTCTTTCCATTTCGTGGTTTTAGGATGAAAGAAAAAACAAACATTGCACTATTACTGTCCTATTGTTTGTCCACATTTCAAAAAGAGACAAGACCATTAACATGTAAGTGGCAGAGAGAAGTCTCTAATTAGGAGACACATTTGGAGGTTGTGTTGGGCTTTTTTCTGGTAAAATGGAGAATTACTTTTATCCTCTCACACCTTAAAAATAATGGAAGATATGAATTGTTCACTGACAGACTCACTCCTTCCACATAAACCAATAAACTTTCACCCCCTCTATCCATCACACCACAAAAAATGTGCACAGATATAATTAACCTTCATTGTCTTACCAGAAGAAGTAACATTAGTCTCTTGAAACAAGGGCTTCTGCCAAGCTTTACTGTAATCACCAGAATTATGATTATTTGAGTTTCAATTTACCTTTTTCTAACTAAACATAACAGGCACTATTCACCCTAACTAACTGATTTAGAGTTGCTATAAAAATGGAAGGCAGGTAAAATGTTCAAAAGAGCCAAACAAAAATTAAAATCTAACCTGACGAAGCAGTTTCTCACAGAAAGAGCAACAAACTGACGATGCTTGAAGTTTTCACTAACCTGCATTCGCATTGCTATTGCAAGATACCCAACCGTGTTTTCAGCAGCATGGTTGTTTTGCCGACCGTAGTTGTGTTTCTCTGCAAGATAAAAGTATTGCACCAATAAACCACAAAGCTTCTGTAAGTAGGGACGTGTATTTGAAATCCATGCCCAAACAAAAATTTTCTGAATGCTGACCTGAAATTGAACAATGTCAGTGACAAAATTATACGTGACTTCTTTAATACTTTGATGAAATCACTCAGGAGGATGGATATAGTGTGAAAACCGAAGAGCAACTCTACACTCTGAAGCATATTACACATATGCATACATATGCATATGACAAAGCATATACCTTCTAGAAAATTACAAAACACAGAGATTAATCCCAGAATGCAAAAATTTACTTTTGGATGAAAACAAAACAGCACAAAAAAAGCTAACTAAAATCCAGACTGCTGTGAGGATATGAAAAGTGACATACATTTTTTAAATGCCTAAATGAACATAGTAAAGACTGTTCTTTTCCACACATCATTTATAGCAAGAGAGAGCAATGAAATTATCAGAGAATACTGCATAGGATTATTATCCAATGGGATTTATAACTTGGAATCAGAATAATCAACATTTTCTGAGCAGCAAAAGTTATCTTCATCAATGTGACATTAAAAGTTGATATTCTGAAGAGTTTACACAATTTAAAGTTACTTCAATTTTAGAGACAACTATAATTGTTTCTGGTGGCACTATATCATATAGTAATCCTATATTAGCTACCCTAGCTAAACATATTGTCATTTTCCTGTAATCCGTTTTTTGGCTTGTTCTTCAGTTGTTGCTTATTGACTTTTATTAAGACACAATTTATCCAAAATTCACATCCTAGTCTCTGTGAGCATATCAAGGCCCCAGTCACATTCTGAAGGGCGTAGACATAACTGTAATAAAAAATAACAACTGTATGCTGACAGCTTTAACCTTTCCCCCACAGGGAACTGAAGTACAAACCCTGACCTGGGTCAAGCTCTCACTCAAATCATCCCATCTGTACTGGTCATAAAACGCTCATGCTGCCTTGCACAATTACCCCTCCCAACAGGGGTCCATGCGGTGGCAGGGCACCAAAACCTCAGGCTGGAGCCAGAGAGCAGGCAGAGGGGTACAGAGGAGCTAGCCCTGCACCCTACCCCACCACACTCACTCCAGCACACCCTCTCACACCCATCACCAAGAAAGCGCACAAGAGCCTTTCTGCGGGCACCCTCAGCCTCCTTCTGTCTGTTTTCTACTCCTTTCTCAAACTTCTCTGCCAAGCAGGCATCTATACACCAGTGACAAATCTAACCAAGCAGAAGGTGACAGTCCTGACATTAAACTCTACTTAAGAAAGTACCTGAAAAATCCTTCTTACTTGTATTAACATTTGCCATTTAAATAATAAAATAAATTAAAAAATCTTCTGGAGATGCTCAGTTTTAGAGTCAGACAGAGGAATTTTACTGGAACAGCCTATCACAGTCATAAATTGACTATTGTTGCTTTGAGACTGGGCTGGGAGAGCTGCCAAAGAGAAAAATGAATTAGGAAGAATGAAGTTTTAAATCCACTTTCAGACAGCTGTGCTTTACAGAAACATTTTGAGTTTTTATGTTATTTGGCTTAATATGACTTCTTTATCAGGGCAGAGTTAGCATGTGTGTAAATACATATCAGAATGAGACATTTCCTTTCAATAAACTACTTCTCTCAGGCTGCCTATGCTACACACTCACCCCACAAATGACTAACCAGGCTTTTACAGGGGTGAAGGTGAAGCTAAAGGTGAAAGTCATGCACACATCAGATAGCAAGGCAATCACAGGATTGCAACAGCTCTTGTAGGATAAATTTTCCAGATGGGAGCTGGAATAGCATCCTCTGCTTTGAACTGTGGCCAGAAGATCAGCTGAACTGCAGGCATTGTGCTCACTCCTGTGGCTCACCCCAGAGAGGGCCCATCCGCCCATCTATCCATACCCTATTGTGTAGATGGGTGAGAGTTGCTGTCATGCACTACCTGCCTGCTCAGGGGGCTTAGAATAGAAAAGAAGTGGGAAAATGGTTGAATTTCCCACTAACACACTGAAACCATACGGGTTTCAGCTTTCAAGTGATCCCAAAGGAGGTGGACATCAAATCCCAAATAATTTTGGCATCCTTAAGTTTTGTTCAGAAAACAGGATTTTTATGTCTATACATACACATATAAAGTATTTTCATGCATGACACTACCAGCACTCTTTTGATTCCAAAATCATCAGCACAGCAGATTAAGAGGTTGCAGTGCAGGAAACATTTTGAAATTGTAATAATTTAAAAAACTGATAAGATTAAAAAAAATACTTAAAAAATAATTCACCTTGGAGCAAACACTATTAGCTCTGCTCCCCTGGCTTACATCACTGTATTTGCCCAATTCAGCTATGTCCTTGAAAATCTGAGTGCTTTTAAAACATGTGAGAGTGTTAGACTACACAAATACCTATGTAAGATATAAATATAGCCATCATCTAGCAAGGATAGAAGTTATTTTGTGGCCATTGTTTCTTTCAGGCTCCATTTAGATCCTGTGACCCCACAGATGTTAAGTTGGACATTTTTAAAGCAAGAAAAAAAACTCAGAACAGTTTCCAAGCACCTCAGCCAGATTCCACCATATATTGAGTGAAGACTGAGTTGTTTTTCCAAGGTCATGACTGCTCCACAATAGGCTTTTAATAAATATCTAGCAATTAAACTAAGTGCATTCTTCCCGTCAAAGACACCTGTGTTTCATGTACCTCTCTAGTAAGTCTTGAGGCCAGCATTTTTTACAGCTGTGTAAATGCATTTCTGCTATTCTTTTGGAGTTTCTCCAAGATTCTGACAATCTCAAAAGCAGGACCATAAAGACAGAGGGACATTTGTTACGTAAGGTGTATTTAAATTCTCTTGCTAAAAATCTCATGCTGCCTTTCCAAACAAATGCCATACTTAGCACAGCCCATTTCTACAACTTGAAAAATAAAAATAAAGCTACATTTTTATGCCAAATTTTATGTTTCCATCCTTGAGAATTGTGCTGTGGTACATGAACACTACTCAGATTTGAATGCAGTTTTCCTAACAGGACTCTTTTAGGGAAGGGAAACATTAATATTATCTATAGTTCTATAGAACCACTAAAGCATGACGTTAAGTCTCAAGACATGCCATGTAGTACACTGCATAACTTTGGTTAATAAGGTTTGTCTTACCCCCATCCTGCCTTCATAGACCTGTACCTATGCCCCGAGTCCAACACCCAAGAGATATCTGCTTAAAAGGATTAAAATGAGGAGAATTCATTCCTTTTAAAGTATTTATAGGTGCTACTGCTGTACCACCATTCCCTCTCTTCTCTGCCCCTTTCCCTTTCTCCCACATTCCTCCTTCACATAAGAATATGTTATACTAGTAGGTTGGGTACCTGCTGAAGAGACCTATGATCCAAGCCCTACTCCACAGATAGTTAACAATTATATCCAACAATCCCTATGCAAAATAAGCAGGCATTAAAAGACACAAGGAATCTCCTAATCACTAGGCTAGGAAAAAGAAAACATGAACTATTTTTGGAAGGCTTGTGCAGCACTGTCAATGGATAAGGCTTGGTAGCCACCCCTGAGATCCTCATTAGTATCAAAGCACTGTTCAGGGAGGTGGAAGACAAATGCCCAAATGCTTGCAGACAATTCAGTCTGACAACTGAGACAATAACTTAGACCTCCCATGCCTGCAATGTATTCAAGCCACAAAAGACAAGGAAAGGCACCTCTTGCTAAGGCCATACTTCGCATGGGAACAGCAGCTGCTTTATTATGAGCCTGTCCTTGCATTAGCTCTGCATAGAATGTCCACTTAATTTGTCCTTAGGGAATATTCCTAGTTTAAGAACCATACAATTAGTTTTCCTTGGCCTTATGCCCATTTCCCCAGTTTTGTATCAATAGATGTCAATAAGCACACTTGTGACAGATTCAGAAAAACACATTAAACAATCACACTACCCATGTACTTCCTTATTTTCCTATTCATTTGAAGCATAATCCCATCTGAACACTGAACAGTCAGATTCATATATGTATAACAAATCTTGAAAACATACAGAGATATTCACAAGACATTTTACAGGAAATGCAATTATAGCAGTAGAACAGAATAACTTCTGGGAAGCTTTCTGAGTTTTATTCCTAATGAAATTCTGTATCATTTCTCAGTAGAGAAATTATTGAACATACATCCCCTCCCCAATCTGTCAGGAGAGAAGGGAGAGGAATCCAAACTCTTTTTGTAGGAGTAATTACTGCAGAAGACATTCTGCCTGTTCTTAGCTACACATGATTTCTCTAATCCCCTCCTGCATAATTCTCTGCACACAGCTTCACAGCACTTTGCAGTTGATATTTTTGCCCCTCTTCTCTTTTTCCCATGTTCCAGCTAAGTCCACAGAAGTCACAGAAATGTGGTACTGTAAAACACAGCACTAAATAATAGCTCATGTGATGACCCCAAAGTCTTCTTTCTGAAATATTTGAATTCACAGGCTTATTGCTTATTTAACAATCCCGGTACAGAGAATCTGTTCCAGCTCTTCTTCCCAGACTTCACATCTCTTTCCTATTTAGACATCAGAATCCCATGTATACATCCCCTGAACACAAACACCCACGTCTTAAAGGCCCTCTCCCAAATACATTGCTTTTAAGCACGTTGTGCTGTCACTAACATGCCACACACCTACCTCAAGAACCTTTTAGCACCTCTTACCTGACAGTAAGTCAGGAGAACAACTGATAATGGTGGTTCCAGGCTTTATCCAGGTCATGGGAACATCATCAGGTTTTCTACTGCAAGTTACCACCACATCCACGTGACGAAGCTAGGGTCAGCCAAAACACACCAAGAAACAAAACAAGCATTTAATGTTAGAAACACATTCTTGAATATGCATCTTATAATATTCAGACTAATACAGCAATAGTCTTTTGAGCAAAGTATTTGTGGACAACAACAAAAAAAATCCATATTGACGACTTGATTCTTAACCAATGTGAAATTTAAGAACAATAGCATTTAAAATGAAGCCAAGTGAACAAGCTGTGAAATCATGCAAGTGTGATCAGAGTCTGCACCAATAATATTTAAAGGGAATTACACAGTTTTAAAGAAAAAAAAACTATAATTGTTCAAAGTCCTATCCAGTAAGGTAACTTGGAGAGACTTTAGAAAGAGAAGGGTTGAAAGACGGTAAATAGGCAATTATAAAGAGTACAGTCAGATTATCTGACAGTAGAAGACCAGGCCAGCTGACAGGAATGCAAGATGACCTTATCTGCAAACATCAATGCCTTTGATGAATACCAAATAAACTTTTTTTTTTTCCTTCTCAGTTCATGTTTGCTAATCAGTGCCTTTGATTTTGTTCAACCTGACAGATGTTGAAGGAAAAATGGTTAGTACAAAAATTCTTATAATCAAAGACATAAGTGTCTTCCTTTCCTCCCTCCTCTGAAACAGGGCCCTGTTTTGGAATCACCATGAGATTAAGGGACAGCACCAGAGGCAGATGTATCCACTAAAAAAAGCAAAATAGAGGCACAGCACTGCCTCAAGCCTGAATGTAAAAGTTATTTTAGAGATGCAGTCATTTTGAAATTAAATTTACATTGAAAAATGTAAATTAATACCAAGTGTCACAAACTGATGGAGTCCCTCTGTGTATTGACTTGGGACTGACAAGAATTCCAGCTTCTTTTTTGGCCAAAAGTGCTCTGATGCAATCCTGCCCAACACTCCTGCCAAGAAAGAATAGCTACAAATCCTGTCAGGATAGCAGGTTTTTGGCACAGCTGAGAATCCAGGAGGGGAGAAGAGCATAACTGTGGTGGAAAAGGCAGAAAGCTAAAAAAGCTGTCTTCTCCTCAGAGAACACAAAGATGGCCTAACCCTCCTTAGAGATCCACATGCGGAAACAAAGCCAGAAGTGTGGGAGAAAATTTACTTGCTTGATAAATGACTAATGCAATGAGCTGATTCAGGCTTTAGTCAGAAGTCCTGCAACACTCCTATGACTGCCTGCAAACGTGCAGTCTCAGCAGTCATTCAGCCTTATCCAAATTGCTCACACTCCCGCCTCTGGTGTGCATATCAACTTACATGCCACTCCTAGAAGGCCAAATAAGTCATAATGTTTGACCAGGTCAAATCACACCGAGGAATCTGCAAGCAAATTTGGATAAAAAGATGCTTACCAAGAACACAGTGCTGAAGACCCGCTTTTCCCTGCAAAAGGAGGCAGTCTCTGCCATAACAGTCAACATCAACATAGGGAAAACCAGTGATTATTCACAGTTAGATGAACACAGCCTTTTTATTTGTAAGGGAAACAAAACAACCAACAAACCATACTCTAGCAGTTATCATTCACATATTCACAGTCAGATATGTCTTTCCATGCAAAGCCTCTGGGACAAGGACTAAGAACTTTGCACACTGCTTTGCATCATGAAACTATGAAACAATTGAGAGCTGTATGCAGCAAGTTATAATTATGACAAATGTTCAGCCAATATACTTATGACAGATTTGATTCAATGTAACTACATTGCCAGAAAACAACTGACCTGACCAGATATTCATCTCTATGACTACTGAACCTAATGTTAAAAAATGCTTCTAACAGCTGAACACAATCATCTTTTTAGCCAACACTAGTTTGGATGGCTAACATTGTACATCCCATAAATATATAAGAAAACCAGCTGAATCTTTCATCTCATTGCCCTGCCCCACCTTCTTCATTAAAAAAGTTGTATCACACAGCAGCGAACAGTTGTCCTATGAGTTGAAGACATGTTGATCTCAGAGCCATCCCCACTAGGATTGCCTTTTCCTTATTTCACAAAGAAAGTAAATGTAAAGTAATTAATAAAAAAAAAAAAAAAAAAAAAAGAAAAAAAGAAAAAAAAGGCATAGTTCCAACTGTAACTCTCTCACTATAAGCACGTATTTTATGTGCCACTATTGAAAAAGTTACTGGAGAGTCAATAAAGTATATGTCACACTTGACAAGATTTTTTTTCCCCCCTGTATTAAAATATATATATATACCCAGAAACTTGTTAGACTGTGACAGTGAGGCCACTGAAAACAAAATAGTTGTTTACAGAATTTTGGGTGTCCTTGGAGGAGATTTGTGAACTCCACCAGGGCATTCACAAGAAGTTAGGCCCCTGCCTCCCCTGCTTTTTTTCCTCTCTTGCCACAACCTATTCTTACAACTGCCTGTAAATCACCAAAGCAAGCTGCAAGCCTTGGGAGGCATGTGCAGCCTTACCTCCTACATCAGAAACAAGGCGTTAGAGATGGAAAAGACCTATGAAATCATCACATCCAGCCTCCCTAGCAAACACACCACACAGTCCGTGGGCAGAGGACACATCTCACAGGAAGCAGATGCTACAGGCAGCTGCAGCCAGGAGGCCAAGGAGATACCCATGAGGGGGAATGTGTGATCACAGGGCAACAGACTGCCTGGTGCTCTCTGCACAGCAAGGCTGTGTCCTACCAGGCAGGTGAGAGGAAGGTATAACAAGCATCATGCCAAACCACTCCTAATGCACCAGGTAATAGGCTAAAGAAAAAGTAAGCTAATACTCCAGTAGTATCCTGCCTTCTCACTGGCAAATATTTTTTCAGTTGGGAAGAGCTGTGCCATTAGTAATCTGAAATCTTACCTCATAATAAAGTACAACTCTCTCCACCAAGATTTAAGTAGAAGCAGATTAAGAAGCACCACCCATTCCCAAGATAGAACTCCAAATGTTAAAACAACAATACATACTTTCCAGCCAAGTATTTAATGATAATGGTACAAAGCATCTGTATATTCAAGACAGCTGACAGCCTGTTTTGCCATGAAACCTGCAAAAAAATTTAATTTCCCCATAGTTAAAACTAGCTGCTACAAAATCAATTTTTAAATACATGACCAAAGGAAAAAAAAAAAAAATAAAAAAAAAATTAGTATTTGAAATGCAAAAGCCCTCAATCTCCTGGGTCTGAAGCTGGGCCAGCTAAAATTTAAGAGATGAGATGAAGAAAAGGAAGCCGAGTCAAATTTTTTCACTATTCTCCTCATGAAAAGACTCAATTTACACATTGATTTACAGATCAGGTTCCATTTCAATCACAGCCTATCTAATTACTTTCTGAAATCTTGAAAAAGTGTTATGTCAGCAACTGGTTTCAGATACTTTGACCCCAAAGGCATATTCATAGAATCATAGAATATCTTGGGTTGAAAGAGACCTCTAAAGGTCATCTAGTCCAATCCTCCCTACAACAAGCAGGAACATCTCACACTAGAACAGATTGCTCAGAGCCCCATCAAGCCTGACCTTTAATGTCTCCAGGGATGGGGCCCCCACCACCTCTCTAAGTTACCTGTTCCAGTGATCCACCACCCTCATATTAAATAACTTTTTCCTAATGTCCAACCTAAATCTACCATTCTCTAGCTTGAAACCATTACCCCTTGTTCTATCATTATATGCTCTTGTGAACAGCTCTTCCCAAGCCTTCCTATAGGCTCCCTTCAGGTATTGAAAGGTGGTTATAAGGTGCCCCTAGAGTCTTGTCTACTTTAGGCTGAACAACCCCAACTCCCTCAGCCTGTCTTCATAAGAGAGGTGCTTCAGCCCTCTGATCATTTTCATTGTCCTCATCTGGACACACTTCAACAGGTCCATGTCCTTCTTGTGTTGGGGCTCCAGAGCAGATGCAGTACTTCAGGTGAGGTCTCACCAGGGCAGAGCAGAAGGGCAGAATCACCACTCTTCATCTGCTGGCCACGCTTCTTTTGATGCAGCCCAGCACGTTTAGCCTTCTGGGCTGCAACTGCACATTTGTGGCTTTTCGATCCACTAGCATGCTCAGGTATTTTCCACAGGGCTGCTCTCTAGCACGTCTTCTTGTACTGATATTCTCCTTGAGTGTGTTTCTTCCAGCTCTGTCTCTTTCTCAGGAAGCTGAACCTACAGTTTGTAAATCATTTGCAACCCACTAGGACAACTGTGGCTGGTCTGCTCCAATCCATCCCCTACTGGTTATGGTCCTCAGGGATGAGCTGCAGCCCACAGCCACCAGCTCCCTGCTACCATCTTCTTGCCCAGACATTGACAGCCCTTTCCCTATCAAATGTACCTGCCCTACACTGTGCATGTGACAAATAGATCCACATCTGTACTGCAGGCTCAAGCCTACTGCTATGATGCTTGATTTAGCAGCTGTTCCTCTAGCTCACAGGCAGGGAGATAAATTTCAGATTGTGAGTAACAGATATGATGCACACAAAATGATTAAAAAGAAGTATTTTCATTAGAAGCTCTCATGCAGTTTCCCTCTCCTCCTATGGGATTCGTATACCTGATCTGACATCCTTTCATACTTATTTGTGTCCCACAATATAAAATGTATTTTTCTCCCAGTACCAAGACACTTATCAAGACAGCAAAAACAGGACAGCAAATGACTAAGAGATGTCTAATAGTCTGAAGCTTAAGTGTTGGCCCGAAGGAAAAAGGAGACTGTGGCCAAAAAAGGTTCTTATCAAATCTGAAAAATGAATCTTCCATTCATGTGCTCCAGTCGAACCAGTCTCCTACTTTTCAACCAGGCTTTTAGAAACATACTTTCCATTTTTTATTACATCTAGATAGACTGATTTTTCAGTTCTTTTACAACAAAGATGTAGGATAGCAGGTCTCCTCAACGTAGTGTGGTTCACATGCAGACTACATGTAAAACAGTGTTGAAATCGTGGATGACTGAACTTAGATGACTGCACTGAAACTCAGTTTCCTCACAGGTACGAAGCATTATCCATGTGTTTGGCAGGAAAAAAATCTGCATTCTTCAATTCAAATCTATTTGATAACCTCCTTTCAAACTAGATAGACAGCCTAATTCTAATATAATAAAATACTAAGCACATCAGTTCCAATTCTTGACCTGTAATGCTGAACTGACTTTTGGCTGACATTTAAAAACAGGCAAGACGTTCTTGAAAATATGTCACTGGATTGTTCTTCAGGCACTCTGCAGTGATGGTGCTTTGAAGAGTTATCTACACAAAGCTTAACAGAATGATAACATCTGTTTTCACCAAAATGCTCAAGCCTTTATATCTTAATTCATTATTGATTTTAGATCCAACATATCAATGCAAAAAGAACAGCATTTCTTCATGACAACTATGCACATCTGTGACAGAATTTTGCGAAGTACACTGCTTTCTTTCATTTGTGATTTTATTTGCAAACCCAGGAAGAGTGTTCAAGAACATGGCTCAGCTGTGCCATGATTATTTTTCATAGCTAAGTCAAGCAAACTCAAAACGGAACAAAAAAACACTAATGATCTGTGCACCTTGACAAAACACGAAGTGAGGAGGGAAAAGAACATGCAAAGTGTGTATTCATGCAGGTCAAAGCAAGGAAATTGAAATGTATTAATCTCTACTTCATTCCCTTTTCCTGCCACACGACAGAAAAGACTTGCTTTAAAGGAGTGCAATAAGTCAGCTGGTATTATGTTGTCTGTACCTCTACATGGTTAGACTTTTCCTAAGGTGGACTAAAATGTACCTTTCTCTTGATAATTTAAAAAATATTTCTGCAAAAGTGTATGGGTAAAAGAAGTAATAACAAGTCCATAGCAATATAAAGCCTGATCCAAAAAAACCTACAACCTTAGTGTTGAGTGTCTCATTTAAACCAATAGAATTTCTAAAGAAAACACTTCTTGTTTTGCTACCCTTTAAAAAGTAGAACAAAGCAGCAGAGCTATTCAAAGATAATGTAGTACCTGCTTAAGAAATGCATGACATCATTAGGTTTGGGATTAGTGCTTCAGTGCAAATGGGGTAGGCCAATGGAGTAAGACAAGTAAAGTACACCTATCCTTAAGCCTAGTTTTTCCTTTCCTGATACATACTGGGGGAAAGAAGGAGGAAAAAAAAAAAAAAAAAGCATCCCAATGAAAAGTTCAGATTCCTTGTAGGTTCATCCCTCACTTTGTAAGTGAGGTTATGCTACCCTTTTCCAAGCAACAACACAGACTGTTACTGTAGAGGTATCACATTCAGAGGAAGAAGAAAAACTGTACAGCCATGTCTAAAGTTAGTGTACTGTGCAGTAAAAACAAAATATGAATTAATTCTTCCAAGTCTTGGAAAAACCTTAACAGCAACTAAGATATTTTCTAACTTGAAATTAAAATTAAAAAAAATTTAAGAGAAGGAACCTTGCAAGTCTAAGCTGTTTTTATTTAATCAGCATTTCAAACGAGCAAAAGAAAATAAATTTGTGTAATCAAGTATAATCATGTTATCTAGCAACATTGTACTTCAAATACAGGTTACCACGAGAGAACAGTGCCTTGCTGTCCAGTAAAAAATCTGTGCTCTGTTTCTGACTCCAGTTTCTGGCAATATGAAACAGGACAGTTTTCCCCGTGCACATTAGATTTTATCTAGGAGCTACAGCTAACTATAGCAGAGTTACAT